TCTCAATGGTGGCTTATAAAAAGTAATCACCTAGAAATCTTAAAAATACTGAGGCCTAGTTCCTCTTGCAGTCTTCTACATAATTTGGTAATGGAATCCAGTATGGGAATTTAAAAATTAAAAAAAAAAAACTCTTCAAGTTGTTCTGATATGCAGATAAGTCTAAGAAACCTGGGTGGATCTGATAAGTACTTCTATAAGTGTAACTCTAGAACCAGCACGGCCAGCATCAACAGGACACATGAGAATGCAAATTATTGGGCTCCTCTCCAGATTTACTGAATTAGAATTGCCTGATGTGGACCAGAAACCTTGAACAGGCCCTCCAGATGATTCTGTCCAAAATGATAGGTTGATAGCCACTAGAACATAAACATTTCTTATGCAGTGCATCTGCAGAGGCTGTTGGCAAGAACTCACCAGAACGTATAAACCAACCTGAGCAAGCCCTTTGATTCTCAGCAAGTTCAAGAGGAAATGTCTTAAGATTTAAAAGGGAGAAGATGACCTACAAGCAGCAGATTCAGGGGATCCAACACCAACACCCTCCCCTGGTGCTTTAATGTATTTTTCAATACTGTCTTTAAATGCCAGCCTCCTTGTAAAGCTTCCTCAAAGCTCCAGTGAAAATCATTTCATTCTTGTGTTTATTCAGCAATATCTACATTTCTGTATCAGTTCTTATCACATCATATTGTAGCTCTATATTCTATGACTAAATTGTGTTGTCTCTGAAAACATGATGGCAGTCTCACTCATCCTTGGACCTCCAGTGTCTATTATAATACAGAGTCCACACTAAATTCTCTAGAATTATTTGCTCAGGGGAGGCATGAGGAATGGCTAGCTTTTGGGGCTACTAAGAAACTTCAAAGATGGATTTAGCTTTGTGACTTTATCACAGTCCCGGGTCTAATTCTGTTCTTTGAAAGCTAGGAATACCAAAATATTCTGCATACCAGGAGTCTGTTTCTGTGTTGGCTTTACACATCAAAAGATCTCAAAGATGTGTAACAATTATTGGCAACTTGTTTTTACCATAAGATGCATCATTGCCTAGTACCAAAACAACTCACTTCTACTTTGTTCATATTTCCACTTATTATAGGAAAAACATAATGTGAAATATAATGAACAAAATAAGGTTTCAGCTATCACAAAAGTATTTGTGTCCTTGGACCCCACCAGTTGCCTCTTTTCCAAGCACTGCTGTCTTTTGGTTCCTTGTGCTTCTCTAGTTTTATGATCTGATCTCTTCATCCCATGTCTGCTCACAACTGTTATTCAAATAAGATCAGCAGTTAGTAAATGAAAGTCACTTTTCAGTGTGTCTTGGTAAGGTCATACTCAGATTGGCATGTGTGTATGGTTATGTTCCCTACCTTTTAAAGTCACACATTGACAGGCAGTCCTTTAGTTGTATTTCCTAGGTACTTGATCACACATTCATTGACACCTCATTGTCACCTCAGTTACTGCCAAGATTAATAATTTCTAGATATTATAAAACCTTTGGAATGTATGTACCTGTTATTCTCTGAAATAGAATTTTTAAGCCTAGAGTGTAAACATGAAGAAAATTGATTTCGGTGTTCTGTGATCACCCAGGATTTTAATGTATGTATGCTGAAGAGCTTTCATTTTTTTCTCTATAGGCATTATATCTGATAGCCACTAATGGAACCCCAGAGCTCCAGAATCCTGAGAGACTGTCAGCTGTATTCCGTGACTTTTTAAATCGTTGTCTTGAGATGGATGTGGATAGGCGAGGATCTGCCAAGGAGCTTTTGCAGGTGAAAATATAATGGGACAATATGATGAGAGTTACTATGTTGAACTTTTCCTTGTTGAGGAGAGATGTAAGAGAGCTCTGTCAAGAGACACGTCATTAGAGTTAGTCTATTACCATTTGATTTTAGAGCACAGGCACATAAATATAGGCCTGCATCTATTGCATAATTGCTTGGTATATTGTTACCTTTATTCTGAGAAGTTGGCATTTTAATCTATAATTCTCTTTTGTTATTCTGGAATCTTATTTTACAAGGAAAAAAACCACAATGTTATAGACCCTTTGGTGCTGCTGGTTTTGTCATACGTTTTACTCATGCCCCTGGATGTTGTATTCAGGTGCTCTTGGCTCTGTGTAACTCTGGAATTATTTCTATGGCATGTGTTACTCTAGTGTTTTAGTAGTCAAATATCCTTTGATATGAAATGGCACCTGCTTGCCTGGCTGAACACGATCCAGTGGTGAGTGTCTCTGTAACCATTTGTCCTTTTTGTGGTTCTCAGGATTAATACATATGATGATAATTAAAACCTGTTATGTCCCAAACTCTTTGCATACATAATCTCATTCAATTCTCACAACAGCTCTGTATGGGAGATGTTATTATCTTATTTTTCAGATGTGGAAATAGAGGCTCACATAGCTCTTGAATGGCAAAAAGCTCTAATTTGAGGCTTGGACTGCCTGACTTTCTACCACATGCCTAATAGAAACCAATGTAAATTTTTTAAAGATGTGCTTATTTGACAAAGCAGCAGCACATGCCCAGGGTTACACAAATAGCTTTATTGCTAGGGACTGTTGGTGGTGAATATCAACACCTGGAACATCTAAGTTCAACAACTGCTTGTTCTCTCCATGACTTTGAACATACAAGCCCATTAAACAAAAGGTATAGCATTTGGGTATTCAGAGTGCTAACTGTAGACTCATTGTGTTCTAGCCTACTTCCTTTCATGGAAAAATATGTGTTTCTTTCACTTTTAAACTCGTCTAAAGACAGAAAATCACATCCAGGAAAAAAATCTCAACCCAAACCACACAAGAGCTTAACATATTTGGATGAATTAAAAAGGCTATGCTGTCTCTTTTCCAATACTTGTGAGCATTTCACAAATTGTCATAAGGTCCTAAAATATCAAATCTGGATGTTGCTCTTTAACCTAATTATTCTGGCCTCAAATCATGGGTGGAAAATTTGAGCTTGTGAATGCTTCACTTCCCTATCTTTCCAACCCTGTCACCCATATTCCCTGATGTAGATCTGTGTGGTTACACAGCTGTATAGAACAGAATCAACTATCTAATTAGTTCATCTCCCAATAGTATTTTTATGTGAACCAATCTGAAAACTGATTTTGAATGTAAATTGAGTAGTTTATTACATCTCTTCATTTTGTATATGTCATATCTCCTATATTAATTGATTCTTTTACTCTAGCCTATCATTGCCTGTTTTAGAGGATCAAAGGAGAGAGATGTACAGTATTCATGCCACTACTAAAAGGATGGAGAAAAGGCAAAGGTCTTGAACATTTGTGTGTTTTTATTTATGGCCCAAGTCAATTCATGCTGCTTCAGTTTGCAAATAAGTGTAGTGTTTGATTAAAAACCTGTCAAAGACTTGATTCCTACTCTCAAGAAATACACAATTTCCTTGGGTACATGAAAAAATAATGTAAGATTTTTAGAGACTTATGGAAGCCATTTGGTTTTTCTAGTAGTAAGTGACATAGTTGGCTAAAGAAATACCTTCATTGGCTCGGTTGATAAGAAAGTATCTGTAGCTGGGTATGGTGGCACATACCTGTAATCCCAGTACTTGGGAGGCAGAGAAGGGTGGTTCACTATGAGAAAGACTGAGGTCAGACTGGCCTATATAGTGAGTTATAGTTGAACTGGGGCTACAGGGAGACCCCATCTCAAAAACAAACCAAACAAAATAAAACCAGATAGAAAAAAGAAAAGAAAAGAAAATATTTATAAACAGAAGAATCCTGCTGGGCCTGGAAGTTGGTTTCAGAAAGCTGATGAAAAGAAGTGAAGATTGAAATTTCAAATAGAAGTGTCACAGTTTGTACACCCAAAGGCATGTAGTCATGATAAAAGGAAAAAATCATAGAAAGTGTTGCTGAAGTAAAAGTTTCATGTAAGGAAGCTGCAGAAGATTACATGAAGAGAGAGCCTGAATAAAGAGGTGGGATGGTTGACAGTGGGAAAACCTTGAGATAGTGAGAAACAAAGTTAAGAAAAGCTTTATCTAAGAAAAATTATCTGGCAGTGTGCAATGAGAATAAGCAATAGGACACTGGATACCCAGCACCACATGGCAGCTAACCATCCCTAATTCTAGTTCCAGGGGATCTGCCGCCCTCTTCTGACCTCTGGGGGCATTGCATGACATGGGTACACTTACATACATTCAGGCAATACATTTATTCATTGGATATGGTGGCACATGTCTGTAATTTCTGCATCTAGGAGGCAGAGACAGGAGGATCAACAACAGGCCACCATCAGCTACTTTAAGGCCTGGCTAGGCTACATGAGACCCTTTCTCAAAACAAAGAAACAAAACAAAGAATTAACAACAGGAGAAAATGGAAGCAGGTAAACCAAGGAGTGGTTATTATACTTTAATTGGGCCTTAAGTAGGAAATGCAAGAGATAAATTTAAGAGGCATTGTAAATTTACTTGGTAACTTATTACAATGTAGAATACAAGGGTATAAGACAAAAGTGACTTCAGGGTACTAAACAAATAGTTGCATTCAGTAAAAGAATGAGTTTTAGAAGATAACACATTAGGGGCTAGAGAGAAGGCTCAGTGGTTAAAAATGCTGGCTGTTCTTGCAGAAGACCTGTGGTTGATACCCAGTACTCACATGGCAGCTAACAACCATCCTTATCTGACCTTCGTGGACATGGCTACACTTACATGCATGCAGGCAATACATTCATTCACATAAAAATAATAATAATTTAAAAAAAGATAATGCACTAACCAACATTTATTGGCCCCTTTATAGCTTACAAGGGACTATCACTTGCCTCATTTAACCATTATAATAATCAGAAAGACAAACTGAAACAAAGTGTTTAACTCCAAAGCTCCTGTAGCTAATGTCACATAGGAGGACTCTGTTGGGGAGAATTTAGCATGCCTTTTAAATTGTTGAACTTAAACATTCCAGAGAAAATATCTAGCAGGCAGTTGAGAACTGGGACCTGAAGCCCAGGAGACCAATTCACAGTGCATACATTTTTGAGAGTTATCCCCTTAATTTTGATGACAGGTTGAAACTGCGAAGGAAATGAGATCTGTAAGAAATTATCTAGCCAAAAGAGCTAATGAGAGCCAACTTCTGGTATGAGAGAGATAGGAAGAGAAGTTAAAATGGAAAGAGATGAATCAGATCACATGCATGGGGAAAGGCCCAAGGTAGCATGTCACAGGTCCCTAAAGAGGAAATCATTTGAAAGAAAGAAAAGAGACATATTCGCATCAACTCTTGTAGATGGACCAAAAGAAACATGGTGGCAGCACAGCTATTGGGTTTGAAGGATAGGGACCTATTGGTTTCATAGTAAAATTGATTTCAGTAGTAGATTGAAGACTGAGAGCTGATCCAGAGACATCCATCAGTTTAATAAAGTTAAATAGTTGTTGGCCATTACAGACTGAGTGAAAACTTCCAAGCTCCTTGTTCAAGTGTTTTAAGTCATGCCAAGTCAGTTTCCACAGTGTTTTATGACACTGAAAGACAAAAAAGAAAACAAAAACAAAGGACAGAGGACAAAAACTGGCAAGGTTTTTAAACTAAATGGTGTCTAACTGGGTGCTCAAAATACATTTTAATGAAAAAGGGACTCTTGAAAATGTAAAGTAATATACTAGCTGAAAAAAGAATTCTAGTAATTCTTCTTTTTCCTTCCTTTCACAGCATCCCTTTTTAAAATTAGCCAAGCCCCTCTCCAGCCTCACCCCTCTCATCATTGCTGCAAAGGAAGCGATTAAGAACAGCAGCCGCTAGAACTGCAAGCCTTACCCTTCATCTCCCCGATGAGTAGGACTGTAATAAAACTCTGCTGCAGAAAACGTAGAAGAAATGACAGTCAATGGGGTGGGGGTTCCTTAACTTTCAAATAACTAGAAACTTCTTATAAGCCTTTTTCCTACTCCCTCAGATTATGTAATTTATTTGTAAGCCTGAATCGCAGCCCACACAGGGCAGCAATGTCGAAGTGACCAGCAAGTGGTCACTTCCACCGTGAAGCGAAAGAGCCAGTAGTGAATCCCCTCATTTTGTGCGTTCACTTTGAAGAAAAAGATTTCTCAAAGATGCACACTCCCTCTTCATAGTGTTGTGTTTGTTTTTAAGTTAGAGAGTAGTCCCTCTTGCATTCGAACCTCCTTCAAAACCCCCTACCTAATGTGATGTTTTTCACTTGCATTGTCATTAGATGTCCAGAGAAAAAGATGTCAAAATGTTTTTTTTAAAAAAAGAAAGCAAAAAAGCAAAGAAAAACAAAACAAATAAACAAAAAACAAAGAAAAAATAGAACAAGTATTGTGTGAAGCTGTGGAAGTCCATGCCCTAATAGAGTTGCAATTCTTTTATTCTTCTTCTATAGTGGTGGCTTGGTTTGTGTACCTGTTTTTCTGCATTTGTATTGGAAAAGGTTTCCTTTAAGACATTTTCCAAAAGCAGAGAGGAATATGAGTGTTCAGGAGGGACTTTGACAAACTGTATCTAAATAAAGTGCTAATTGTGAAATCCTGTCACATTTTAACAAGGATGCTTAAGTGGTAGCTAATTTGTCCTGTAAACCAGCTCGTTGGTCTTCTGATACCAGAATAAGGTCACATTGAAATTGTAGCTGCCCTGTTGGATAAGTCCAGGTCCTAAATTTAGGATATCCAGATAGAAAAAAAAATACACCCTACTTAAACAAAAATGGGACTTTCTCCAAGAGCCAAAAGGAAAACAAGATACATATATAATACAGAAATCCTGTTGATCATTAAGTAGGAGAAAATAAGATAATGAATTTAATCCTCTCCTGTGCTCCTGGAACACACGCATTGTAAAATAGGCATATTGTGAGAAAATAGATCCATTAACCAATGTTCTTCATGATCAAAATTATTGATTTTGACAATTTGTAACTCTTGGCATTTTTTAATGAACATCAGGAGAAGATATAGTAATCATTCAACTCTGTAAGAAATGGGAGGTCAGTGGAACCTGAATCCAAGTGAACATTTGACTCTAGACCCTTGTTCCTGTTTTTCCTGTATATGACCAATCTCTTTTTCAGGATATGTTGTATTCATACTGAGTTACTTGGGCTTTTAACTTTTAAAAATGTTGAAAATTGTCCTTGAAAATAATTTTGATTTGCAATAAAATACACCAAGAAATATCAGTCCAACTGAAATCCTTTGTGGCTTGAGGAAAATTCCAAAATTTAACTATTATTTTACCATATTTCTATTTATTAAAACCTCATTAGTTAGTACTTTCTGAATCTTCTGAGAGTAGAAAAATATCTGGAAGGTGTCTGCATGAGTGTATAGTCAGTCTTATAAATTCTGGAAATTTGTTTCTCTAAGCCTTTAAAGTGCTAACAACCTATGCTATAAAATATTTCTTAATTTTTAGAAATAAAGAATCTGAATAGAGCTTATCTACAGTCAGTGAGAAGAGAAAGAGACTGATAACATTGGTCTCTCTCCTCTGTGAGGTACATCTAGTCATCAAACCATCCATCCTTTCCTTCAAATGAAAGCACTTTCTTTAGAGTTTCTGCTAACTGTATAGTACATATGTGTATGTTTAAAAGATGATAGCACCAGTGGATTTCATATTTTCCTACATTATAAAATATGGGAGGGTCTTTCCCCTTCCCTACAAATATCCACGGTGGGATAAAACAATGTGAAAAGAAAATTAAATAACAATCTTAATTGCAAGATTACTTTGCAAAAAGGTGTCTGGACCTAAAATTTTAAATGTTACATTTCTCTCTTAACGAGAAAGAGAAGGAGAGGGTCTTAATTTTTATTTTACTTTAAATTATATTTTTCATTCATACCACCAGGGAATTTCACAAAATACCTGTAATGCAAATAGAATTCAACAGTTTGATGGCTATCCTCTGCCAGCAGAGAGAGACCAAATCCTGGTTGGGAAGTCCTAGTCATGAGTTAGCATCTTTTGCATGTAGTAAAGGCTTTTTGTTGTTATTTTGAAGACCCTGGAGCAATGATGCTTCAGATCACTGTAGGCAGAGAAATGGCTGCTCTTTATGTTTTTGGCTCAAGGCGTTAAGAGTAAAGAGCCAGGTACTTTATTTTTTAACCAAAATTTAATGATAATATTTCCCAGTAGGCATTGCTCTCACATTTTCAAATGAGAACAGCTTCTAAAGCCCCTTCCCCATGTTGGAAAGTTATGTATATTTCTAATAAGTATTAGAGAGAAACTGTTTCTCATGCCAAAATGATGCTGAAGGATTCATATTTGGTATACTCAAACAACTTGAATTCCAGATGATTACCAATTATTTCCCCCTCCCTGAATTTTTTTAAGCTCATCTTAACACAGGTGAGTCTATCCAGATCTTTACCATTGCAAGTATGCCCTGAGACAGTTGAGGGCACATTGTCCAATGTTGATTCCAAAATGTCCTGAGGTAGGAATAGGGCGGTGGGAAAGTCAGGGAAGGGTGAGAAGCACAGTAGAGATTATTTATTTAAGAAAGAATAGAACATTAATATTGTAGCAAGGATCCGGTACGTTGTCATAATCCCAAGAGGATTTTGGGATGGCACGATCCCCTCAAATCAGTCACCATGTTGGGTAATGACTTCGTTCTTGCTGATCTTGTCTATGTGTCATTGTAAATATTTGTGCGTCCATGCTCCATTTTGGCTACTGGATGGCCAAGTCCCATGAAAAGATTTAACTCAAGTATTTATTCTTCAATTGTGTTATCCAGATTTCTTTCAGTCTTGTGAATTGTCCCCTGATGTTTGAGTTTAACCACCTAATCCTCACATCTATCTCTCCCTTGTGAAGCACATTCCATTGCTAAAAGAAAAGAAATATAAAATTGCTTCCTGTTTTCTGTATAACTGTTGTAATAGTTTGAGATGTTTGTCTATAAAGGATATTTCTCAGCTCAAAGATCATGTAAATATTTATATTCCTTTGCTCAGTGGCTTGTTTATTTCTAATGAGGCTGCCAGTTGTCAGAGAGATTCTATAAATTCACATTTAAATAACATAAACAGGGATTACAACTATGTAAAAATAAGTGTGCATATGCACAAAGACTGTGAACACATATAATTGAAATCAGTTGTGTTAGGGTGGTGGGATTATGTGAAAATTTTCTTTCAGGAATTTTCTTTGATGTTATTACTTTACAATGAATAAACAACAGAAAGGAAACTATAGAAACATAGAAAAGATGCCAGAAGCAGATGCCTTTTGGCCAGAGCCCAGAGCATGCAGGGCACAGATATTTGCTAGTTACAATTATTTTATAGTCTTTATGCTTGCCTGGGTGCTGAGGTTGGCACATGCTCAGGTATGGCACATGCTTTCTTAGGAGGCTATTATATAAGTCAAAGTTAAGGAGATGTCACTGCTGGAACTCCAAATGCATTCTGCTATGGAACAGGTTGCCCTTGGCTTTGGTATGGCATCCAGGTGTCTACTTTGGTTGCTTTAGATTGGAGGGGTTACAATTTGGTTAGCCCCCTTGATAGCAGTTGTTTCAGGTGACATCTTTCTGGATTGTTTTCCAAAGACTTTCAGGTTCAATTTTGGAGGAATACAAGGATAAAATACCCAGCTACCAGCATTTCCTTGTATAACAAGAATGAATATCATTCACATAGGATTCTTCTTAACCTGTAGACAAATCCCATTGATTTCAATGGGAATTACCACTTACTAACTTACCTAATTCTGAAATTATTAAGACAAATATTTAGTATCACCCCTGTTGGCATTAAGTATCAGTCTTATTATTTTTGGCTTGGGATGGTCTCCTTGTGCTTTAGTACTGCATAATTATAAGTTTTAGGCCGTGGTTGTGGTTTTCAAGAGAAAGGGAGACCAGCCACCAAAAGAGAAGAATTTCCTTCTAACTCACCAAAGAAATTTTAGCTGAGGACTTTAATAATGCATGTTACACAATGTCATCAAAAGCAGACCCTAGCTCTAGGAAACTCATAGACTGTTCATTAAACATTATTAATATTTATGGAAGTCTTAACCCTGCCATCCCAGTTGAATGCTGAGGTCCTTTACTGAGCTATTGGCAGTTAATATTCACGTAAACAAATGAATGGCCAGTGGTGTAAACACCTCCCAGTCTTGGAACAAGAGGACAGCATTTGTAAACTAACAGCCTAATGGGCCTGTGATTTGGAATGACCTTAACACACAATTCTGAACATATATTTGCATGTGGATTGGGAAGGAAAAAAATAGGGCCTTGGAAATAATGGAAATATTTTTCCTATGAAAGTTTTTCATAAAAGATTTATTTCTGTAATTGTTCTGTTGGTTAGTTCTCAGTTTTCCCACTCCTTTTCTGGTACACACTCCTTTGGTGACCAAATATATCTAAGTAAACTTCTCATGCATGGGAATGTCTGCTACAAACGTGGGAACTGAGCTATCACCATGTGCACACCTCTGACCACAGATACAACTTGTGGCACTGACTGCTACTTAATTTCATTGAACTTGTTAAGAACTTAGAAAATCTGATTAGTGCCATCAGAATCTTCTTCAGAAGCTGCCATCAGGTGAATGCTGTTATGTAATACCAACAGCAAGACAAGTACTATGTTCCCCTGATTGAGTAGCTAGGAAGAAATTGACAGTAATACCAGAAAATGAGTAAGTTATAGTAGAAGGAATCCTAGCCAGGAAAGAGACCTGGCTTCGAATACGAACATTTTGCCTAACTTGCTGTGTGACCCTGGATAAATCACTTAAATTTTCCATAGCTATTTCTTCATCTGCAAATTAAAGTTATTGGACTAACTGCTCTTCAAGGTCTTTCTGAAAGCTGTGACATCATGTGGTGTAATAGGTTGCCTTGCAAATTCAACCTGCCAAAGTGATGGCAAATATCACTTGCTTAAGCCTGGCTCTCTTATATTGCAGTTAAATAGAACTGTGTGAGATGGAAAAACAAGTAAATGAATTTAACAATGCTAGGGAATGTTGATGAAACTGGTGGCAACCTTCTAATTTATTCACAATGTTTTGTTTTAATTTTAATGTCTTTCTGCTCAGTGTTCCCAGTTTTCATTTTCTATACACTGTGTTCGTGAAGTCTGGTTTCCATTAAGCTGTGGCTAGCATTTGCTACTAGAGCAGAAGTATACTGTCACATTTGCTATAATAGAACTTTACTTGGACCGCTCCTTTCCTATGAAGCAGTGCTGGGCCTTAGAGAGTTAAAGCAGAAATGGCACAAGATGGCAGAACCCAAGCATTTTAATGGGTGAAACTACAAAGAGTGGACCTAAGAACTTACAAGCTGCAGAGAGAGAAATGAAAAAGTAATTGCATGCTTTTATCTGACAAATTAACTGTTGGGGATCAATAACATTATTCATGGCAACTCCCACAGTGATTGGCTAGTTATATGAGCATGCTATTGAAGATAAACTAAGAAGCTAGTTTGATGGATGGTCCCAACTGCCTGCCTACAGAAGAGTGCCAACCAGCCCTGAGTGTGAAATTCAAGTTCAATGTGTGTGCTTTGTGTGTGGTGTGCTTTATGGACCCGCATATACTATATTTTTTAGTAATGGTACAATCTTTCACCATTAATGGGTTGAATTTTACATCTTAGTACATCAGCCAGTAGAAGCCAAGTCACATGGGTACTGATGTCTACTGGGATTGTACTCCTAACATCCAGATAAAATAAATTGAGAAGGATCTACATTTTCACTGAGTTGTATCTCATTTGGTTGTGCATTACTTTTGTCAAAATGTGTTATTTGTAAACCCATGTGTAGTGAAATTCTTCTGTAATTTTGGATTAAAGGTATTTATGGTCTTTTGTCTGTTTGATTTTTTAAGTAAGTTATTTCTTTTGTAGACTTGCTGATGGTATGGTTCCATCTTTCCAACCTCAGCATCTGATCTTTTTAAGGGTTTTTGTTTTTGATATTGTTGTTTTAAATTGTGGTTGAAGCAATAGAAATTTGAAATATGGATTGTGCATGACTGTGTCTTGAGTGTAAAAATATTGCAGTTTGAAACTTGGACCTAAAGTATTGCAAATAAAAATGAAAAATATCAGTGATCTGTTGCTTCTCTTGTCTGTCACCTTCCAAAACACCCTGCTTTCACTGGTCATTTTACCTCTGTATGTTGGAGGGTAGCACTGTATTAGAGTTATGGAGGTGATGAAATGCCCAGCCTTTTAAGAAATACGGAAGATGCCCTGCAGACTCTTCCGCCAAATACTCAGACTCAGAGTCTCTATTTGGCTTTTGCAAGGAAAGCTCAGAGAAGTGAATGTGTATATAGAGGGCAAAAACCTGGTTAAATCCCAAAGAAAGATGAAGGAAAATCACCAAGAGAATTCACATGTAACAAACAATTTCATTTTGATCAGCTTTCTGTTTGGAAATTCTTGAACTCATAATGCCATCTTCATAATGTTTAGTGTTTGTCATACTAGACATTACTTTATTTTGATTTATGTGTATGCATGTATGTCAGTGTGTTTCTGTGCATGTGAGAACTCAGAGAGACCAAAAGAAGGTGCCAGATCTTCTGGAGCTAGAATTACAGACTGTTTTGGCCACCCAGTGTGTATGCTGGGAACCAAACTCCTGTTGTCTACAAGAGAAATAAGTGCTCTTAACTACTAATTAGTCCTTGCCATATATCTTATATCAAGGTCTGTAGAACCGCAAAGAGATTCCAAACCAGCATTACTAAGAACATTCATTTACTCACATTTTTTAAAAAAGAATTTACACACTTGCATCATCCTTCCAAGCCTGAAACTAATTTAATGATCTTTTGCTTTCATTCTTTGCTCCTGGAAAAACTCTTCATCGTTACAAATCAAACTTGCTTCTGTGGACAGACAAGGCTTCTAGCACATGGTCCTCCCTAAGGTTATTAACTCAGTCATCACCTTTAAAGCAGCGCTGTTCTGGTGTGCACATCTCAAAACATGCTCCAGACTCAGGAAAGAGTCAATGTTATAAGATGCTGAGAGAGCAAGGAGCATTTAATAATGCCTATGACCATTCCTCATTTGAAGGAGTCATAGTATGGAGGCCCATTGTGAGGTATGGAGTTCAAGGATGCCACTGCAACATTTGATTATATATAACAGCTTTACAAGATGTTTTGCCTGATGATTGCCTAATAAAAGTGTGTTGATTTAGGCCACCAAAGAAGCAAGTACTTTAATTTCTGTTGTTTCATGTGCTCTTTCTTAAACATTAAAAACAGTGTGCTGCCTTTAATCCCAGTCCTTGAGAGACAGAGGCAGGTGGATCTCCACCAGAGGAAGGCCACCCTGGTCCATATACTGACTTCCAGGCTGACTGTAACTAGGGATACCCTGTCAAAAACAACAACAAAACAAAACAAAAGAAAAAAACAAAAGAAAAAAACAAAAGAAAAAATAATTTACTAAGCTCTTGCTACTGTGTGTCAAACATTATGACCCCTTTTCCCGTAAATATAGCTTTTCTTTAAAAAAAAAACCACCTCCAAATGAGTTACATCTGTAATATTAGTAGTTGGAAGACTGAAACAGCAAGTGGTCATAAGTTTGAGGCCAGTCTGGACTAAGGAATAAGCTCTATCTCAAGAGAAAGAAGAAAGAAAGAAGAAAGAGAGAGGGGGAGGCTGGAGATGGAACTCAGTGGTAGGGTGTTTACTCAGTATGCAAATTAGACCCCAGTACTGCAAGAGGGCAGGAGGGAGGAAGGGAAGGAGAGAGGGAAGGAAGGAAGGAAGGAAGAAAGAAAGAAAGAAAGAAAGAAAGAAAGAAAGAAAGAAAGAAGAAAATCATCTAAATCACAGCAAAGCTCATTAAAAATGACTAGAGGCGCTGAGAAAAGTTTACTTTACCAGTATTTCGCATAGAGTAGACATACTGCTCCTTCCTGAATGTGCATATAAAATGTTACATCTTTGTGTAAGAGGATACATGTTGGTGCCATCCATCTTCTCCAGGAATGCTAACTTGGGGCTTCTGAGGTGGCTCAGTAGGTAAAGGCACTTGCCACAAAACCTAATGACCTGAGTTTGATTTCAAGTTTCTATGTGGTGGAAGGAACGAACTGACTCTCATAGGTTTTCTAACCTCCACATTCGTACCATGGCTCACTTTCTCTCTCTCTCTCTCTCTCTCTCTCTCTCTCTCTCTCTCTCTCTCTCTCTGTCTGTCTCTCTCTCCCCTTTCTCTCATACACATGCAAATAAATGTAATTTTATATGCTAATTTCTTGCTTTCTAATGGACTGTACATATGTACAGGTCTTTTATTTTGTTCATTGTATCCTTGTTGAAAATTAACAGGTATTTTCTGTAAATATGAGGTGGCAAATGAATTTTAGCCAAGCTCTCTCCAACACATGTATATGAATAATTGTGTTGTTTTTATCGCTGTTAGCCTTATATCCTTGTCTTTGAAAGTTTCATACATTTATACAATGTATATTAGTCCCATCCGTCCACCACTACTTCCCTCCAACTCCACCTAGTGTCACCCACTCCGTCTCCTAACTTTATGTCCTCTTTTATTTTTTGTTTCAGTTATTGATAATCCTGAGTTCAGTTAGTGCTGACCACATGCACTTGAGTAGGTGGCAGTCTACTGAAGCATGAGCCCCCTACCAGTGGTCACATCCTCAAAGGAGAGTGGCTCTCACTCCCTCAGCAGACATCAACTACCAACAGCTCCTCCAATAGGAATGGGGCCTCAGGAGCTCCTCCCCAATCCATGGTAGACTTTTTAATGACTTGATCTTGTTCAGGTCTTATGCAGGTAACCATATCTTCTGTGAGTTGATGTGTGCAATAGCCATGTCCTATCAGGAATTCAGCATTTTACAACTTTCCTTACCATTTTGTAGTTCTTATTTTCTTTCTGCTCCCTATTCTGATAAGTTTCCTGGTTCTTGATTCATGAGAGGTTGATATAAATGACTTATCCAAGGCTGAGCACTCAGTTCTTTACACTTGGCGCTTTGACCAGTTATGAATCTCTGCATTAACCACTACCCATTGCAAAAGGACCCTTCTCTGACTGGTTTTGAGAGGACAAATCTATACGTATAAACATAAATACTTAGACGACATTTTGACAACATGACCATTTAGCAAAACAACAGCCATTGCTTTCCCCCCTAAGAGCCTATGATCTCCCTAATCATGGATTTTTGAACAGGTTTATACCAGGCATTAAATTCCTCCTGTGAAGCAGGCCTCATATTCAATCAGAAATTAGTTGGTTGCCCCCATAATTGCCATACCACTATTGCACCAGTGGGAACATCTTACCAGAAGGTCAGTATTGTAGAATGCAGGGTCTGATGTTGCATAAGACCACCGATGTCTTTTCTGTCCCAGCATCCTACATAGGACCTTCTGCCACTCAGAGTTTCCTGATAAGTTCAAGGTTGATTTCTTTATGTCCTGCATGCAAAGTTATTGTTGTCACCTGCAATAGAGTCTTACCATCGAGTTGTGGTTGAGAACCATGAGCAATGAGCCTCTATTGTTTTGGTTGCCTCTCTGAACAGTAACTTGTAGGGAGGTATCCGGGTCCTGGCACTGAGATTTTCATTTAATAGGTCATATCTTCTGAAACTGGCAGGATACTGCTGTTCAACCTCCCTACTACTTTATAAAATATGTTTTTAACTAGTTTACAAATGAGTGTATTTCCATAAGACTTCTTATATCCTTAGTTTTGACTAACCCACCCACTACCGTCTCCTCTCTTCTTATCCCTACTTAAACCTTTCATGTGAGTATATTCCCTCTCTCCTTTCACATCACCTGTGTTCTGATATCTCCTCTAACTGAAATTTTTCTTGGGCTGGAATTCAGATGAAAACTACTTTAAGATCACACCTTGCCCCAGACAAAATGACCAAAATCAAGAATAGAACTGACAACAAGTGATGGCATGGATATGTGGAAAGAGGAATCCTTATACACTTTTGGCAACAGTGTAAATTATTGTAGCCATGTGGAAATCAGTCTGGAGATATCTCATAAAACTAGAAATAGAATTACCATATAACCTAGCTATATAACTCATGGAAATACACCCAAAGGATTTTAACCTACTGTAGAAATACTTGCACATCCGTGTTCATTGTGACTCAATTTACAATAGCTAAGAAATGTAATTAACCAAGATATCCATAAAATTATGAATGGATAAGGAAAATGTGGTACCTATACACAATGAAATACTAGTCAGCTTTAAAGAAAATGAAAATCATGAAATCTGCAGGTGAATGGGTAAAACTGGAAAAATTATACTGAGTATGGTCACCCAGGCCCAGAAAGACAAGTGCCAGGTGTTCTCTCTCATATTTAGATT